CAGCCTTCCCTTGGGAGCCTCCAGTCCTGTCTGCTCAGACAGCACCCGGGGCGGCTGGCGGGCGAGGGATGACTGCAGGCGTTGAATAGTGAGGGCGCAAGGGGATGAGCCGGGATTCGTGGCTCTCGGGCTGGCTGTCGGTGCGGAGGGGCAGTTGAATGGCAGAGGATTGGCGCGTGGGCAGGGGGGAGGGACAATTTCCGCCTTTCTGCGCCCTTCCTCCGAGGGCACGATGGAGAGGAGAGAAAACCGCCTTTGCCTGACGCTTCCTTGCGGGTCCTGGCGATTTCATAGAATCCCAGGGCGGGCAGAGACCTCCGGAGTCAGCGCATCCAGCCTCCTGCCCACAGCAGGGCCAACCCAACTCAATCATCCCAGCCAGGGCTTTGTCCAGCCGGGACTTAAACACCTCCAGGGATGGAGATTCCACCCCCTCCCTCGGGAACCCAGCCCAGGGCTCCCCCGCTCTCCTGGGGAAATAATTTTTCCTAAGAGCCAGCCTAGATCTCCACTACTGGAACTTGACACCAGCGCTCCTTGTTTGTCGTCTGTCCCCACTTTGCCACAGAGGGGTGGATTTTGTGGCGCTGGGTGGACTTGGTTTGTTGCCCACTTAGAAGCAAATCAGAAGCAGGTGTTTGTACAAGGTGCCCAGGTACTACAGAGTAGGGATGTAAAGGGTTAACTGGGAATCCTTCGCCTTACCGGCATGTCTACTGGGGTAGCCAGTGCCTGGCCAGAGCAGAACCCTGCTGTGGTGTGCCGTGGCCGTGGTATTTAACTAGTTAAACATAGGCTGTGTCTAGACTGGCAAGTTTTTCCGCAAAAGCAGTTGCCAGCTGTCTACACTGGCCGCTTGAATTTCCGCAAGAACACTGACGATCTCATGTAAGAAATCAGTGCTTCTTGCGGAAATACTACGCTGCTCCCGTTCGGGCAAAAGTCCCTTTCACGCAAAGCTTTTGCGCTAAAGGGCCAGTGTAGACAGCACAGATTTGTTTTGCGCAAAAAAGCCCCGATTGCGAAAATGCCGATCGGGGCTTTTTTTGCGCAAAAGCGCGTCTAGATCGGCCACGGACGCTTTTCTTCCAAAAGCGCTTTTGCGCAAAAGCCTCCGTGCCAATCTAGACGCTCTTTTCCGCAAATGCTTTTAACGGAAAACTTTTTTCCGTTAAAAGCATTTGCGGAAAATCATGCCAGTCAAGGACAAAGCCATAGAGTTTAACCAGTTAACATTTCAAACGGGATTTTCCATTCCTACTACGGAGCTGGTGGTAACCGTTGAGTCAATGAGGCAGGGTGACCAGGGAGTCAGAGGGCACCTGGCTGGGGCATTACCAGGGACAGGACGGGACGGGACAGCCAACACCCAGGCCGCTGTGGTGCAAGGCAGGCTAACAGACACCCTGAAGTTAAGGTGGTGGGGTGCATTCTGGCATGGCCTAGGGGTTTCGGCCTGTCCCTGGAGAACTCCCAGTAGCCTCCCCGTTCCACCCGCTCCCTGGCGTGGATTCAGGTCGGGCAGATCTCTGGCCGGCAGCAGAGCGGGCCTTATAGGTGAGGGCGTTGATGGTAGATCTGCTGGAATCCCCATGGCATCTGCTTTATGGGGCAGGACTGCTGGGGAAGGGTTGCTTAGCCGTGGCAACATTGCCCCCATATCCTAGCCTCCCCACAGCAGCCTGGGGGGGCAGACCCAGAGGGCAACGGACTAGCCTGGCTTTGCTGTCCAGGGCTCGGTGAGGTGCAGGAAGTGGGGCTCAGTCCTGCCGTGGGCAGGGGGCTGGACTTGATGACCTCCTGAGGTCTCTTCCAGCCCTAGGATTCCAAATCCAATCATCATTCATCGAGCAAAGCAAGGGGCAGGATTGTAAGCACCCCAGGAACGCGGATGAGGCAAATCCAGCCGGCTGATGGCTGGAGAGTGAACGCGTTTGCATCTGGGCCGTCTCCGGGGTTTTGTTGCTTGTGCGTGTCTGAGCTTTACGATCAAACCGGCTTCGGTCGGGCATGTGACGTGGGCTCCCCGCTCTGGTTAAGTTCTGAACAACCGCGGTGACTGCTGAGCTCGGCAGCCAGCCTGTGCTTTGCGCTTTGATCGCCTGCTCGGGGGACTGACATGACCTCTTGGCCAATGCTTTATCCCAGCTGACTGGTACCCCGGCCTCGGAACGCGCGTCGCACCTGCTCAACGCGCTCAACAGCTACAAAAGCAGGTGAGCTCGGGCGAGGGGGCTGTGGGATGCAACACTTCTAGTTCAAGCAGGAGTGGAAAATGTGGAAGGGCTGACGTGATTGGGTTTGATGGGCGGTGTGGAAGAGGGGAGTCGTTTCGCGTGGGGGAGGGGGGACGGAGTTGTAAATGAGAACTCCCATTCAGAGCTTTAAAATGGCTCCTTTGTGGGGTTGGGGGGGTTCTTCTCTGCCCTCTAGATTTCTGTGCGGTAAGGAAATCAAGAAGAAGAAATGCATCTTTCGCCTGCGCATTCGTGTCCCGCCAAACCCCCCGAGCAAGCTCCTGCCAGAGAAAGTACCAGGCTTGGGCGAGAATGGCACTTCGGAGCTGAAGAAGAGAGGAAAAAGCAAATACGCCCATAAAAATGGGTCTGTGTCCACACTTTCACTTCCCGCTAGCCCCCCCCCGCCCTCGAATCTGGCTCCCCCCCGAAGCCTGAGAGTGCTTGTCTTAAACGCCGCCACCGAAATAATCAGGAATGGGGGGCCCTGGACTATGGACCGTTCCTCGGGTCTGTCCCTGCAGCTACAGCAAAGCTTGATCATTGTTTCCTGTTTCACAACATACAGAGACCAATAGATAAATAGGCCAATGGTGGGAAGATAGGAGCTGCTATAGAGAATGTTTCTATAGAGAACTTTTTTCTGGGTGTCTGGCTGGTGAGTCTTGCCCACATGCTCAGGGTTCAGCTGTTTGACATATTTGGGGTCGGGAAGGAATTTTCCTCCAGGGTAGATTGGCAGAGGCCCTGGAGGTTTTTCGCCTTCCTCTGTAGCATGGGGCACGGGTCACTTGCGGGAGGATTCTCTGCATCTTGGGGTCTTTGAACCATCGTTTCGAGGACTTCAATATCTGAGATAGAGGTGAGAGGATTATTCTAGCAGTGGGTGGGTGAGATTCGGTGGCCTGCATTGTGCAGGGGGTCAGACTAGACAGTGGTCTCCAACCTTTTTACACCCAAGATCACTTTTGAAATGACAGACCAAGCCAAGATCTACCGCCCCGCCCCTTCCTTGAAGCCCCGCCCTCTCTCTTCTCCTCCTCTCCATCACTTGCTATCCCCAATCCTTATACTGCTACTTTAAAAAAAAATTCCCACCATTCCTCGCAGCTACTCACCTGTGCTGTTGCTCGGTGAGTAGCTGCTCCTCAAATGAGGAAATCTAATGTAAATGTACTGTGCAGGCGCGCAGTTCAAAGAGGGCTCAAGAGCTACTCTTAGAGCCTCCGAGATCTACCGGTAGATCGCAATCTACTGGTTGGTGACCACAGGACTAGATGATCAAAATGGTCCCATCTGACCTTAAAGTCTATGAGGCGTTAGATTGAAATCTAGGCGCTCCTGCTGGATGGTTGCAGGGTAACGTTATTTTATTCTGTAGCGTTCAGAACCCAGAAGAACCCCAAAACAGAGGGAAACAAACCAGGCTGCTCCATAAGGGTACGTCTAGACAACAGGTTTTTGTCAACAGATACTGTCGACAAAGCTGTTGACAAAGAGCGTCTAGACTACATCCAGTTCTGTTGACAAAGCAAGCCATTTTGTCAACATGACAGTGTAGACGCAAAGGACAGTGTAGATGCAATAATGCCTTCTGTCCACAGAACTCTCATGTTTTTGTACCTGGTTGAGTGTAACATTGGCACTCTGTCGACAGAAGGCGTTATTCCTCGTAGAATGAGGTTTGCCGCTGTCAACAAAACGGCTGAGTTCTGTCGACTGTATGTCGACAGAACTCAGCGGTAGTGTAGATGCAGGTATAGTTTTGTCAACAGAAGTCCACTTTTGTCCACAAAACCCTGTAGTCTAGACACACCCTATGAGGCCACAACTCACATCCCCTTATTGTAACTAGCTTTCTGCAAACTGATCTCCTGCTTCTCTCCCCACCCTGCTAGGCGGCCAACAGGGCCAGGATTTCAAGAGACCACATGTAAAGCTGACAGTTTTCAAAGTGCCACACTCCCCACCCTAGAATTCTCCCTGGCCGCTTGGAACCAAAGTAGACGTCTGTACGCTCCCCCCCTTGGGCCTGTTACACGATTTGCCATCTCCTCGAGACTGACTCTCGTTGTTCTGTGTTTGTGTGTGTTCTTTGCTTTCACAGTTTGCTGCCTCACGAATTTCAACAGCAGAAAAGGCGAGTTGCTAGAAGAAAAAGATCAAAATTTTTGTTGGAGGATGCTATTCCCAGTGTTAGTTTCTCACTATTCTTTTTTGGTTGGGTTACTATCCTTGATGTTGATTTTTAGGGTTGCATTATCGAAATTGCTTGCTCTTTGCTTTTTGAACTCTGAACCGGACACGTGCGCTGCTGCTACAACCCAGCATTGCGGGAGCTTGCGCACTGGGCCGTTTTTTCCCGCTGGTGCCGCCAGCGCGCTCCCCAGGCAGGAGCCAAGTGCCAATTTGCAAGTTTGCCCCTTCAGGCCACAAACCGGCCTGCTGATGCCGGTACCCAGCGTCTCCGAGCTGGGAGTTCCAAAGACTTTCCTTGGCCCAATCTAGGGGGGCTTGGAATGGGCCAGTTGAGGTCTCTGCCTCTTAGCTTTCCGGCATGAAGTGTAGCAATTGAAACCGTTGTAAGGTTTTGACGTTGCCAGAAGCATCCAGTATAATTGTACTTTCCAGCATGAGGTGTAGCAATTGAAACCGTTGTAAGGCTTTGACGTTGCCAGAAGCATCCAGTATAATTGTCCCCCGCCCTTCCAAACGCCCTCGCAGCTTCTCAGTTACAGACAACAACCAGGTAGAACGGAGCCTCCGCTGGCTTGAGACGCCGGATTATTTTTTCATGGGTGCCCCGCAGATTCTCAGTTACAGACAAGAACCAGGTAGAACGGAACCTCCGCTGGCTTGAGACGCCGGATTATTTTTTCATGGGAAAGAGCGGATGGGATTTCCCGCGGCGCCCCACCTGTGCGAAGGCTCCCGGCTCCGAACGGCTGCCTTCTGCCTGCCTGCTCTGCAGAGGAGTTGCAAGGGGCTGTCCCGGGCACAGGGGGCCGTCGGTGGAAGGTGGAGGCCAGCAGGGGAGGGATGGGGGACGCTGGCTGGGATGGCTTATGCCGAATCAAGGCCTGGTGTCCACTCATGACTCTCCTCCGCTTCGCAATGCAGAGCGACTTCACGTCGGCTTGGAGCACGAACCACCACCTGGCCAGCATATTTGACTTCACACTGGATGAAATTCAGAGCCTAAAAAGGTAAGCGGCACATCTCACCGTCAGGCACGACTGGCCCCGAGGACAGAGGAAACCCCAGCAGCTCGGCGCCTGCGTCTCCGCTCTTTGCTTGCTCTGACCGCCATTCGGGGGGAGGGAGGGAGTTTGCCATCTTCGCTCACTCACGGGGGCGGGGAGAGAGATCCGAGGGGCTGGATCGGACAAATTGCCATCTAGATGAGCTGGTGCCCCTGGAAAATCTGTCGCTTTGCCCAGTTGGGAAATGGAAGCGGGCGGTGGGGTGCCGTTGCTGGTGAAAGACCCGTCCGAGTAGCTCTGGAAGTCCCAGGAGGCTGCACTGGGCATGACGTTCCTGTCTGACGTCCGGGCTTTTAACACCCCGGGCAGTCCCCTGACTCTCCTACTAGGGACACCTGCTGCTCTCCTGAACCGGCTCCACGTTAAGCTTTTGTTTGGAGCTGGATCCTGTCCCTGCACAGAAGGGTGTCTGCTACCGACCCAGCCAGAAATGCTGGGCCAGGCTCGCCCGGCAGCTGGCTGAGGTCTGGCCAGGACTCACTTCAGTCTCTCTTCCTTCCAGTGCCAGCTCCGGGCAGACTTTTCTTTCTGACCTGGATTCCACAGCTGCTGCCAGCACGTCTGGCTCCGCCACAACGAGCCTGTCGTACGAATCGAGGTAAAGGGAAGGGCCGAGACCAGGTTCTTGCCCTTGGGTTTTGGCATTGATCTTGGCCGCTTTCTTTTCATCCCTGATGTTTTTCCATCCCCTGCCGGGATCCTCATTAACTCTCCGTTCGGCTTGTCCTGCCGGCCTCTGGTTTGCGCAGGGCTAGCGCTTGATGGCTCCGCCACAACGAGCCTGTCGTACGAATCGAGGTAAAGGGAAGGGCCGAGACCAGGTTCTTGCCCTTGGGTTTTGGCATTGATCTTGGCCGCTTTCTTTTCATCCCTGATGTTTTTCCATCCCCTGCCGGGATCCTCATTAACTCTCCGTTCGGCTTGTCCTGCCGGCCTCTGGTTTGCGCAGGGCTAGCGCTTGATCTGTCACGGGAAGTTCTCCTGGATTCTGCTGGGCACCCAGAATATTTCCGAGTGGTGCTCATCGTCCTTGGTCTCTGCTCTGACACGAAACGCAAACAGGATGCTGATTCACTGGAGGCCTCAGTGCCTGGCTGCAGGAAAACCCAGTTCTGTTAGTGAAAATCTCTTCAGGAGCTGGTCCTCTAGCCCCTGGCAATAAGGATTTCAGCCGGCTTGTCTTGTCTGCCCACTGCACAGCTCGTACCCCCGGCGGGCGGGCGGTTTGTGGAGGGCCTGTTGGCGGTCACTACAGAGAAATGCCCATCGTCCTGCCAACCAGAGAGGAGGGAGAGAGCCCGTTCTCAGTGGTGACCGAATGGGGAGCAATGGTCTCAAGTTGCAGTGGGGGAGGTCTAGGTTGGAGATTAGGAAAAACTATTTCCCTAGACGGGTGGGGAAGCACCGGGCTGGGTTCCCTAAGGAGGGGGTGGAATCTCCATCCCTAGAGATTAAGTCCCGGCTTGACAGCCCTGGCTGGGCTGATTTAGTTGGGTTGGTCCTGCCTTGGGCAGGGGGCTGGACTGGATGACTCCTGAGGTCTCTTCCAGCCCTAGGGTTCTGTCTCCTTGGTGCAGCGGTGTGGTTAATGCAGAAGGACTGGCCCTGCATTCCTCCGTAAGCAAAGCTGCCCCGGCTTACCTGGAATTGATGGGGGTTGTTCCAGTTCTAGGGATAGAAAGACCTTGTGAATGTAACGAGTGGAGAGTTTTACTCTGCTTAGCTGTCTCCGCTGGCCTTCCCCTGCCCGCTCATCAGCTCTGCAATAAGGACTCTCGTAGCTGTGCAGAGCCCTGAGGCGGGGTTTGCCTAAAGCACGTCATGCAAATAAATGGATTAAGCCTCACAGGTTCCACGGGAAGCCGGCTCTAGCCTCAGCATGTCAAAAGGGCCACCAAATGAAATGAATAGGTAGCAGGTTTCAAACAAAAGGAAGCTTTTCTTCACGCAGGGCACAGTCAACCTGCGGAACTCCTTGCCGGAGGGTGTTGTCTGTAGCCTCTGTTTGCCAGAAGCTGGGAATGGGTGATAGGAGAGGGGTCACTTGATGGTTACCTGTTCTGTTCATTCCCTCTGGGGGCACCTGGCATTGGCCACTGTGGGCAGACAGGACACTGGGCTACATGGATCTTTGGTCTGACCCAGTCTGGCCATTCTTATGGGTTCATCTAGATGCACGTGGCCACGTTTGGAGAGGAGTCCTAGGATACATCTACCCAGAAAAAGAGCCACAGCAGCGAATGTCAGCCTGGGTCTCGCTCGACAGGGCTAAAAACAGTGCAAATGTTTGGACAGGACTGCGGCCCAGGGTTCAAGACCCTCCCCTTTCATTGGGGGTTCAAGCCCAGGCTCCCCACGAGAGCCCAAGCGTCCACACTGCTGCTTGTAGCCCTGCAAACCCAATCCAGTGAACCTGGGAACTGAGTCTTCCTGCCGGGGCAGGGGTGGCGGTCTTTTGTGCCATGTGGACACGCCCTTAGCCAGCCTTAGGGATTCTAAGAAAAGGTAACATCAACCTTCTTCCAGCGCCCTCAGTGACGGAGACACCGAAGTTGTGAGCCCAATTCAGACACGAATCCCATATGTGACATGACCATGGGAAGAGGCAAGATTAGAACCCAGGAGTTCTATCATCTAGCCCTTGGGGAGGGTTGGGGGGGGGTCTATACACTAGACCAGTGTTTCTTAACCAATGGTACGAGTGACATTTGGAGAAATCGGAATGTCCGTTTTGAGTTTTACAGCGTTTTTTATTTTTGTACTTTTTACACCCAAATTTTCATCGCCCGCCCGGCTACGATTAAGTTGTTTAAACAAATGTGTTGCAATGGTAGAAAAAAATTGTATGTCTGAAAACTGTAGGTACTAGGGGTACTTACAATTTTTTTTTTTTTTTTAAATGGAGTACTTTATAAAAAGAGGTTGAGAAACACTGCGCGAGACCCCACGTCTGCCTATCCTGTAACTAACCCGCAGAGTTAGTCTTACAAGGGGAGCTGCCTTTCTTCCTACTAGTCAGCCCTGGAGTATTACCTCCTGGCCTGAAACCTGGCACGTCACTTCTTGACACACACAAGGTCAGCTGGGATGGGAAACCGAAAACGAAAAAGCCGCTGTCAGTTGCAAACGTCCTCTGTTCTCGCAATTTGGCTGACTCAGTGCAGGGTTCCCTGCAAGCGGAGTGCTTGAGTTGCCACCCAGGAGAGAGTGACGTGCCACTCAGCTAATTAGCAGAGTCCCCGCAACCGGCTGTGTGTGTTTCTAGTGGTGGTGCACACCTGCACATGGCTCGGCGCACAGAACAAAATTTATTCTGCGCTGGGATGGAAAAAATGTAGAGGGAACCCTGGTCGGGAGCCCTGGATCTTACCAGGCATGCGTCTTGTCTCGTGGTCTGCGCTGCTGCGTTGTTGCATTTCTCCTATCCCACCCCTTCTCTTTCTCTCCCCCCCCCTCCCCCCCAGCAGGAGGAACATGGGCAGCCGGAAACGGAAGTTGGCGGTGAAAGCCTATGCCCCCATAGGGGGGAAGAGAAAAGGCGTCGAGCAAGGCGGGCACCTGACCGGCTGCGCTTCGGAAGGCAGCGAGGCGGCGTGCGCCCCGGAGCGCCCGGATGACGGAATCGACAGCCACACCTTGGAGAGCATCAGCGAGGACGACTCCTCCCTCTCCCACCTCAAGTCCTCCATCACCAACTACTTTGGAGCAGCCGGCAGGCTGGTGTGCGGGGAGAAGTACCAGGTGCTGGCCCGCAGGGTGACGCCGGAAGGGAAGGTCCAGTACCTGGTGGAATGGGAAGGGACAACCCCATATTGATCCCTCTGGCTTGGACCAGCCTGGGGAAACCTTACCTAGATCATCTACAAAACCCGTGACCGAACCCAAGGAGGTGAGGGATGTGGAGGAGCCAGGCTCCTGCGGTGGGCGTGCACCGATGGGGGAGGGCTTTGAAAGCTCTCCTTGCGCTTAGCGCAACTTGGGCAGGAGAGGTGTGACAGGAATGCTTCACCGTCTGGAGCGGGCGCTGCGCCGGACTTAGGACAGGGGCTAGCAGAGGCAGTCGGACGCGTCCAGACGTGCGGCGAGCCGCAGCATCGGGGGGGCTGAAACGGAGAGACTTCCTCTTGTGAAAGATGGGTATTCGATCAGTCCTGTAGACACAACGGCCGTTACCTCGTGATGCTTCCCTGAGGGACCTTTTGGCTGAGCCAAAGAGGAATTGAAAGCACATAATGACGGGGCTTCTCATCGTGACGCTCTGCTGCGCCAGAGAAGCCGGATAGGCCCGGCCGATCCACCCAGCGTGGGGCTAATGAGAAGGCAGGAACGAGAGAGGTTGGAAGGGCGACAGGCAAACCCATCCGTACGGCGCTCACCCCGTCATCCCCTCTAGTAACCGTAACAAGGCTGCTCTGCAGAAGAACCACCGCGAAGTCCGCCCGTGTCTTATCACATCAAGCCTTAAAGAACAGACCCAACTGGTCTTGTTACTAAAGCAAAAAGTACTTGCCTAGCCCGTTCTATAAGGCCTAAGCACCTGAGTATCACGTTCTCGGGCTGATAGAAATCGCTGGGCAAGCTGATTCCTGCCAAAGCAATTGTATCGTATTTACCCCCTCCTCGTAAACACTGCAATGAATGGATAATTTTAAAAGAGCACAGTTGCCCTGTCTGTGTAGATCTAGATACTTTTAGGCCTGTCACTACCAGCCTTCCCAGCCACAGGACCGATTGGCATCCCGGTTGCTCTTGTCCCATGACCGCGCGATGTAAAATGATGCGGCAGCTCCATTGGCTTATTTTTCTGACAATCACAGTCTTGGGATGACGCCGATGAGGTGAGCTTGCCTTCCGGCCGAGAAGGGCGTTGTTTTGCACTGGTGGCGCCTTCACTGAAATGGACGCTGTGGCGTGTGTTTTTGAAAAGAGCGTTGTGATAAATGCTGCCACACGAGTGGATACGTCTCTCCACCCCTCCCCTCCCCCCGCAAAAAAAAGCCCCATCCAGACAAAAAGCAAAAGAAAGGAAAAGTGGCTGCGTTTCAGTGAATGAAAGAGAATTGTTTGGGTAAGGAGAGGGAATTGCTGCTGCTGCTTTTGGATACGTAACAATACCTAATGCTATTTGTACTTCCCGACATATACCAGCTGAACCAAATCTTTCTATTTAGTGCTGCATGATTTCCGTCTTTGTTGCTTTTGCATCTAGAGTGGAAAAAGAGGATGTAGCCTTGCAGGGCAAGGAAGGGAGAGGAAATGCAGTAGCTTGAGAATCAGAAGAATGAATGTAATAAATTATTGGAAGGCGAGCCATGTTTTCCATTCTGGGATTCAGAAAGTGACTTGCTAAGCTGAATTCTGGGATTCAGTTTGCCTGCCTAATAATTGCCACTCTTGTCTAACAAAAGTGACGTTGTCAGGTAATTTGGATGCAAAATTTAGGCTGTTTAAAAATGTATCTATACTTTTACACACTCTAATAGCAGTAGCCATGTTTTTTAGATGATTCTTTTAAACATTTAGTGAAAAGTTATTCACATTTGCTAGCCGGGTGGTTATGAACCCAGAGTGAAACTGACAATAAACAAGTGACTAGTTGGGTGGGGTTGTATATTTTTATTGGGACAGTTTTTGATGCTGAAAGACAAGCTTTGGAGATGCACGGAGCTTTACTTCAGATAACCTGAATGAAGTTGGTCTGATCCAAGATACAACTTCACCCCACTTGTCTCTCTAAAACAATGGGATTACCACAGCTCTGACAACACTGCAGCTAAACAAAAGTGAAACTGACAAGCCTTCTTGACATTGTCCGAACTGAGTGAAATACACAAATGTAAACATCATAAAGGCAAAACAAACTAGAGTTTGCAAATTTTCACCTTTAATAACCCTGAAAGGACCTGACTGAAAAGATGAACTGAAAAGCTCGTTTTGTTAGGGAAGGAAACCCCAGCTTTATTTAAGATCACGAATCATTCAGTGTGTAATTCTCCCCTAACTGATGCTGGTGTAAATCAAGAGTAAAAACAGGTGAGAGGAGAAAATTGGGCTCCGTTTTTAAGAACATCCATAATAAAAGCAGCACTTCCCCATTGACAGCCAAACGAATGGCACAAGATCACCTTAACTGAACGGGCCGGTGTTACAAACCAAAGGCCCAAATGATGTGAGTTAACGTAAATCATGGATAACCCAGGTTGTTGGGTTTTTCTTTAAATGTAGCCCTCAAAACTTGAATTAAGGTTTTCTGTAGCCCGAGTGGATCATATGGCTGAGACCTAGAATGGTGCATACTGCTCCTTTGCGGTGTTTTGCGAGTTAGAGATGCAGGGCCAGATTCTGACCAAATGTACATTGGTGTGTCCGAAATATTTCCATCGCTTTCAGTGGAGTTTCTCAAAATTTTCTTTCTAGTAACTAGGATCAGAATCTGGCCTGTCATCAGCTGCTATAACAAAAGATGTGCCTGAGTGTTCATTGTAGCAGGGTTGTTGTGTTTGTTTGTTTTTTAATTCAAGCCTTTCAATTAATTTGTCAGTAATGATCTAGCAACTCCTTAATGGAAAAGCTGCCACCTGTTCGTAAAACGTGGAGCCTGGCACTGAGACTGGATTTGAACCCAGCAAATGGAAACTGTGACTTTTTAAAAAGTCGGTCCATAGTACATCTCTATGTTGTACTGTATGTTGAGGCTTGGTCCTACGCTACTGTCTTATGTGGTTACACCAACATCATGCAGGATTTTCCACACCCGTGAGCGACGCAGTTACAGGCACCTAATGGCCGGTGTAGCTAGTGCTGTGTTGACGGGAGAGCATCGCTGGTGAGCATAGCCCATGCCTGTCAGGGAGGTGGTGTGTCAATGGGGGAAGCGCTCCCGTTGCTGTAGGTAGCGTCTTCTCTCTAAGTGCTGCAATGGCGTAGCTACACGGCCACTGCAAATGTTCCCGTTGGCTTCCCTTACTCCTGGCAAGAGCAGGAGTACTGGCCGCCAGCAGGGGCACCTGCTGAGTTCCATTGAGCGAGTCTTAACTAGACTCACTCAATTGAACCCCAGAAGATCGATTGCAGCAGCGGCCATCTTCCCAGAACATCGATTGCAGCAGCGGCCATCTTCCTCAGAATGAAGACTAGGGATGTGAAGGACTAGTCGTCTATATCTGATAAGCAAAAGCTTATTGGATAGTTGACATACTAGTTAATTAGTCGCTTCCTTCCCCCCTGCCCCACTTGCTGCCTCTATCAGAAAGAGGCAGCAGTGAGGGAACGGGGCGCTTCAAAGCGGCCGCAAAGCAGACTCCCCCGCTGACCCTGGGCTCCATGCGGTGCTGCCACTTTGAAACGCTGCAGGGAGCTTGAGTCTCCCGCTGGTCCCATGCTCCCCACAACGCTTTCACCTTTGAAGTGAAAGTCAAAGGCAGAGGCGCCCTTATGAACAAATCAAATAGTTGATGCAAATTGCATCGACTATTCGATTAGCTAATTAATCTAAATTTAGCATCCCTAGTGAAGATGTGGCCGGACTTGGCTCCTGAATCTGCATCAGAGCCATGAGGGAGGTGCCCTTGGGTCTGCTTGCGTGGCTCCAATTGTAGGATTTGGGTCTTTCAGTACCGGGTGGTGTTATTTTTGATTCGTTCACCTAGGACCAGATCCAAACCCCACTGGAATCTATAGGAGTTTTTTCACTGACTTCAGCAGCGTTCGGGTCAGGCCCTATGTCATTTTGCATCCTTTTGAGCACAAACGTTTCGGTTGAGTTGATTTTGTGTTTGCTGTTCCCAAAGGTGGGCTTTTTTTTTTAACGAAACAAAACCTATTCGAAGTACTGTAGCTATTACGTGTCCTGTGAAATAAGAAAGTGCTTAGAATGCATGTTTATAGCCAAAGAGGCAATATGAAAAAGACCCTTTACTGAAACCGCGCCTTGTTTTCAGCACATACTCAGGATAATCAAGAGATGTTGAGGCTTTTGGCTTCAGAAATCTCCATCTCTGGAGATATTTAAGAGCAGGTTAGATAGACGTCTATCAGGGATGGTCTAGACACAGCACTGGGTTCTGCCGTGAGGGCCGGGGACTGGACTCGACGCCCTCTCAAGGTCCCTTCTAGTTCTAGTGTGCTGTGATTAGAAAGGATCAGTGGGAACATAACTCCGTTCCGTCTGTGTTTTCAAAGTGAGGCCCTACCGTCGGGACCCTACCCATCGCCGTTCGGAGGGGAAATGAGACAAACAAGAATGAGTCTGCTGGGAAAGAGACTTGTTAACTTCAGTAGGTCCTGTCCGTGCAGCGCTCATAGCATGATCAAGGCACGTTGTACTGAAGCGCTTAGACGGGTTTGCATGCTGCTACCCCTGAAAAGACAGTAGTGGAAAGTCAGATCCTCCTTTACGTATCTGTCAAGACCTGAAACTCTCCCTGACGTCAGGGAGCGTCACTGGGGAGAGGTTTGCAGAGCTGGAGGCCAGGGACGCAGAGCCCTGTGTGCGACCCAGCTCTCTTCTGCGTAGGGATGTAAAATCCCGTTTAATTGCCTAACGGGTTAAACGTAGCGTTTAGCCAGTTAACCGATTTAAAGGGGGGCAAACGGGGGAGGGGCTGGAGCAGCCCCCTCTCCCCCGCCCACTG